GATCTATTTTATGATACTACATATAAAAAAGTTATTTTTTTCTTTCTTTCACATTTGGAACAGTGATTTCTCAATTTTTTAGGTGTATATTGTTCCCAAGCTCCTATCACTGTAATTTTATGTAAAACATTTTTATTTGATATCAGTATCAATATTACAAAATTAAAGTTTGTATCATCTCTGCAAGTTACTGAATTTGAACACCAAAAATGCATGACCTTCCCATTTAACCCTCTTTTTTTAAAAGACGTTGACAAAATATTTTTAAAATTTAAATTATATTTGTTCAAAGTATTGTTGTTTCAAAGATTTCAAAAATGTCCACCATTTCTGGTGGACATTTTTTTTCAAATAAATTATTTCCGCAACAATTTGAGGAATTTCTGTTGTATTTAGAATTTGACATTTATCTGCCATTTTTACAATGATTAAAAAATTATTTTTTTGATAAAGTTAAATTTGATTGGCTTTTTCACATGGAAATTTAGATATGATATCTTTTTTGATATCTTTGTAAAGATGTATTAACTATGCATTACATGCATATATATGTATATATATATATATATATATATATATATATATATATTCAAGTTTATATATATATATATATATATATATATATATATATATATATATATATATATATATATATATATATAAACTTGCATGGTAGTCACAAGGTTTTTGCCATAAACTGTTGTTTTAAAGAGCGCGTTAATAAACCTGACCAGAAAATGTTAAAAAACTTCAAAAAAAACTTTAATTTTTTTTAATGATTGACTACCTGCCCAAACCAAACCCTCAGTCGATGTAGCAGCACTCCCTTGCGAGTTAGGCTATTTGTCAGTCGATGTAGCAGCACTCCCTTGCGAGTCAGGCTATTTGTCAGTCGATGTAGCAGCACTCCGTTGCCAGTCAGGCTACAAGATAGTCTATGTAGCAACACTCCCTTGTAGCAGCAGGCTATAAGATAGTCGATGTAGCAACACTTACACATGTTTTAAAAATGTTTTTTAATTTAAAAAAAAAAAAAAAAAAAAAACTAATTAAAAAAAAC